TGCCTATACCACCAGACTTGGTAATACCAAACAAAACAGAAAAGAAAAAAATTAAATAATTCACAACAAAATAGTGAAAGCAACAGAGGGTTTCAAATCAAGTTAATAGGAAATCAAAAATAGTTACCATAATACATCCTTCTATCTTTGGAATAGCTGTCCATGCCATCAAATCTAATACAAGTAGACAAACTGAAACAATAAAATCAAACTAAACAGAACAATGAAAACATGTTTTAAATCATGATAATAGATTAACAATAGTGACTGCCTTTCCTTTTATACATTTCCTTCACTTGAACTTTCATGAGATGTATTGTTCATTTTGGATTCCACTAACTGTTTTAGTTTTTATACTAGGGAGGCAACCCGTTATTCACTTAAGTGATTCTGGACCTTTTTACCTCTGAGCCATGATCTCCAGCTGTATCCATTTGTCTGCAAGAGCCTCAAGGTTTTTTTCCTTATACCTGAGTACTTTTCCATTGTATAAACATGTCATGGCTTTCTAAACTATCTGCAAGTGATGGGCAAGCTACCCTCACTTTTTTTGGTTCTCTGTCACATAAAACATTTTCTCATTTTTGACATTCACTCTACAAACCCTCTTTCAGTTTAAATATACTTATTATGTAAAGCACACTGATGGAGCCTATCTCCTGATCCACTCTGCCTGTATTTCTTTATATTGGTGAATTGAGGCCATCTGTATTAGTGATTTTTGCCTCAAGTCTGCCATTCTATTTTTCTGCTGTTGGTTATCTACTTTTCCCCTTCATTCCACATTCTGCCCCGTTCAGTGAGCCCCCAGTGCTGCTGTTTGTGAAGAGATGGTCTTTTCTCTCTTTCGCTATCAGTATTTTTGTAGGGTTGTTTTGGTGGTCATGAACTCCCCCAGTTCCTCTTTGACATGGAAGCATCTTGTTTCCCCATTAATTTTAAGAGATAGTTTTTCAGGGTACATCAATTTGGGTTGCAGGTTATTTTCTTTCAAGACTTGGAATACTTCATTCCAAGCTCTTTTTGATTTGATGGTTTGTATCAAGAAGTCTTAAGGTTCTGTTGTATTTTCCTGTATAGGTGATCTGTTTCTTTTCTCTGGCAGCTTTTAATAATCTGTTTTTGTGTGGAATTTCTGGGATCTTCATTGTTATATGTTTGGATATTGATCGATTTGGCTTACAGCTGGCTAGAGTTCTGGATGTCTCATTTATCTGAATATTATTTCTTTTTCCTATACTTGGGAAATTGTCTTTAATTATTTCTGTAAATGACCTTTGTATTTCATTTGTATTTATCCCTGTTATTTCACACACATTTTGTACTTTTAAGTTATAGTTTCTCTTGTTATCTTCTAGCCTTTGTATTGTTACTTCCTGGTTCCTTGTTAATTTTTAAGAGACCTTTCATTTTATGATCGCAAGCTGCAAATCTGTCTTCAAGGCTTGATAATCTATCTTTAGTTTCTTTCAAGCTGTTTTGCCAGTTTTCAATGGAGCTTTTAATTTCCTGGTAATCTCTTTGAATCTGTTTCATGTATTCTAAATTTTTTTTATATTCTTCACTGAAGGTTTCCCCCATTTTCTTTGTTCCCCTATTCTTTCATCTGTGCCTTCTTTTGAGGTGTTTAGCAATTCTTTTACTATTTTTCTGATTTCTGCTTGCATCCAGGATAGTATTTCTATTCTAAGTTCTTTTATAGCCTCATGAAGTTGTTTCTTTATTTCAGTTGTTCTTACTTCAAAAACTTCAGGTGTGTGACTCCTGATCTCTTCCATGTTTACATCTCCTGAACCAGTACTGCTTGGGTTGGAAGCCAGAGACTGCCTAATGCTTCTTCCTCTTGTCATGTTTCTTATTTCTTTTGAATAAGTTGGTAATGGGGACCCTGGCACTCCCTGTATTGGTTATAATTACTTTGAAGCATACTGGCTAGGGATTTCTGCTGTTTACAGCTTTTTCCAGCCTGCTGGTGGCTACTGGAGTGCAAGTAGGGGCAGGGAAGATTAGTGCCTCCCTTCAGAACTGGTTAAATTCAAGGAATCTTCACCATGTTAGTATGCACCAGTCAGGTAGAGTTGGTTGTGGATAGCTTTAGGTAAACCTCGGCAGTGACTGTTGGACCACACGCAGGGTCACAAATTTGTCACAGCACTTTCCACTAGTTAGCTCTGAGCTAGGAGGGGCTGAATGAAGCTGGTTGCAGTCCTGGCCTTGAGCTTATACTGCCTGACTCCAAAATGGCCCCAGGCCAGTCACCCACTCATGCAGGAGGACAGATTCCCCAAACTTACTGCCAGCCAATGCAGTTCACCTGTCTGCTGCTCCCCACTGCTGCACCCATGAGAAGACTTCAGGTTTGCCAGCCACCAGCTTGACTGTGCCTGTGTGGCTCCAGGTTCCAACCACACTTCTTGCAGAGCCTTCTGGCTCTGGTTGAAAGTGTTGCTAACTCCTGCCTTCTTCTGTTTAAGTTTCTTTTTTTTATTCTCTTTTTGGGCTTCAACTCTCTCTTTAGTTTCTTCCTGTGTCAACGGGACTCAATTCCTTCCTTCTTGTCTTCTCCAGAATGCTATAATCTGTATCAGGACTGTTTCTCCCAGACAGGCTGTTACTGCTCTGCCATCTTCTCAGAATCTAGAAATTTGAAGTCCACAGGTAGGAAAATTGTACAAGATAGCCTCATGAGTATTGCAAAAGTTATTGTGGAAAAAAACCTATACACACAATGATCAAATCATGCTGTTATCACCATATAAATAGCATGGAACTACTGGAAAACAAATAATAGAAATATATTAAGGGAGTCAGGCACAGTGATCTAAACATAAAGTTTAGAGTATTGTGGCTGGGGATTTAGCTCTTGGTGTAACAGTCTGCCAGGAAAGCGCACATCTTGAATTCGGTCCCTGATAGTGGAAAAAAAGAAAAAAAATGTTTAGAGTGTTGAAATTAGTAAACTTACATGAACAATCAAGAGTAACCAAATTAGAAGTCAATAATGTAATAAATTTGTGTAAAAGTAACATTGACTACAACAAATTGAAAACAAATTCAGATAACAGTGAGTTTGAAAAGGTGAATATTACTGGGCGCTCTGGAGTTTGGTGCGTATATATTTAAGATAGTTATCTCTTCCTCTTGGAGTTTTCCCCTTACGAGTATGTAGTGACCTTCTTTGTCCTTTATGGTCATTGTTGGTTTAAAGTTCACGTTGTCTGCAAACAGAATGGCTACTCCTGCCTTTTTTTGGATTCCTGCTGCATGAAGAATTGTTTTCCATCCTTTGACTTTCAGTCTGTGAGTATCCTTCTGGGTTAGATGGGTTTCCTGTAAACAGCATATGGTTGGATTTTGTTTCTTGATCCATTCTGCTAGTCTGTTTCTTTTGATTGGTGCATTGAGACCATTTACATTAATGGTTATTACTGTTAAATGTTGTTTAATTGTAGGATTCTTATCTCTCTGCTGTTGCATCTTTATCTTTCTGTTCTGTTTAATTATTTGCTTTGCTTAGTGGTTTTTTCCTTTGTGTATCTAAACTGTCTTTCAATATTTTTTGCAGGGTTGGTTTGGTGTTCATGAAGTTCTTCAGCTGTTCTTTGTCATGGAAGTATCGTATTTCAGGAGTATTATTCAGCTATAAAGAAGGATCGCATTGAGATATTTATCAATAAATGGGCGCAGCTTGAGACCATACTCATAAGTGAAATAAATCAATCTCGCATGTATGAATACCGAATAGTTTCCCTAATGTAAGTAATGATTCAAATATATAAAAATATGTGATAATCATGATTCCCCATTATGTGGCCTTGAAGCCTTATAAAATTTTCACTTATTAATTAGAAAGGCTTTACTCTGGGCTTTTTGATATGGAAATATTTGAAGCTATAGTATATGAAGTTTTATCCAAATATTTTAAGGAAAAAGACAGACACTATGGTAACTACTATTCTTTAAAAAAAAATTATTTAGCTATTTCTTATGTTTATTTTAATTAAGGGAAAAACTTAAAAAATTAGGATATATAGTAGTAACTCTTTTTGATCTCCTATTAACTTGTTTTGAAGTCCTGTAATACTCCCAAGATCTTGTTTTGACTGATTAGACTCTGTTCCATTCTGTGCGATAGTAGCAAGTTTGAAGGTATAGGCAACTAATTTGAAGGCAATAAGATTCACAAAGATGCCCATTCTGGTTTGACTATTGTCTCCTTTGGAAGTCCTGTAATGTTCACAATGCCTAAGTTTTATTGGTCTTGTTCTCCACTGTTTTGTCCGGCTTTATAATATCTAATGAGATGGACAATTCCTTTTAAGGAAACAAGAGACAATGTTGATAACCATTGTTGATGACCTTGTACTCTGTTCTACATCATGTGCTATGTCTATCCTTGGTTTGGACTTACAGCTTTGTTTTGCCATATTTGACTTTATTCTCTCCCCCCCAAGAGAGTAATGAGAACTGAGGAGTAATAAAATCCAAAATGTATAAATTTTGTTATAAAAAAGAGAGGGAGGGGAAAAAAAAAGAGCTCTAACGGATATAACAACAAGTGTGTTTAGGGATGTTAAATAGCTGACTATATTAATGTTTTTGGATCATTGAACACAGCTGTTTGCAGTCTCTCCGTTTGAATGTCTACTTTGTATTCTTTGATACTGTGATTTGAGCAACTATTTCCAAGATGATATTATGTAATCTATTAACAGGTGATTTCTTACTGTTATGTTTTTTTTTGTAGTTATGTATTATGTGTAACCTTACACTGCTTTGTTTTGTTTTGTGTTTTTCTCTTTTTCCTCTTAAATAAAAAAAAAAAAAAAAAAGAAAAGGTGAATATTAAAAGTGTTAGTGACGATAAAATTATTGGGGGAAGAAGTAGCTGTTTTTCATTTATTCCACAAAATTCATAGTATAGTCCAATGTTTGACTGCACAAATGACGCTAAATTGCCTTAGAATATTTCTGTAATTTAGTGAATGAATATTTTTAACTTAAAAAGACACTTTTTCCTCAGGATACTTATTTACTCTAAATCCATGCAAAGAATTTCTCTCTGGTCTGAACAAAATAATGAAGCACTTTGGAGCAAAGATGCAGACCAGCAACCCTGCACCGGAGGCCAGCATGGAGAAGACCTCCATGGCCACCATCACCTTCCCCTTGCTGCTGTGGTACACAGGGAGGAAGGTGACCCACACACTGCAGAACACCAGCATACTGAACGTCAGGAACTTGGCCTCATTGAAGGTGTCAGGCAGGTTCCTGGCCAGGAAAGCCACAGTGAAGCTGAGCAGGGCCAGGGAACCCAGGTATCCCAGGACACAGTAGAAGGCAGTGAGGGAGCCCTTGTTGCACATGATGATGATGTGGCCATGTTCAGAGTGTGCATCTGTGTTAATGTAGGGTGGATTTGTCCCCATCCAAACTCCACAGAGAGAGAGCTGGATCAGGGAGCAGATGGGAATGATGGAGTTTGGTGCCCCTGATACCAGCAGTTGCCTCATACTTCTTTGTGGAGCAATGACCTTAAAGGCCAACACCACAGTAATAGTTTTGGCCAAGACAGTGGACACAGCCACAGTGAAGACAACTGCGAATGTGGTGTGCTGGAGGATGCAGGTGGCTGTGTTGGGATGGCCAATGAAGAGCAAGGTGCAGAGGAAGCAGAAGGTGAGGGAGATGAGCAGGGTGTAGCTGAGAGCCCGATTGTTGGCCTTGACAATAGGAGTGTCTCGGTGTTTCACAAAGAGCCCCAAAACAGCAGAAGTGATGATAGTGAAACTCAGAGCAATTCCAGCCAGTGTCTTCCCCAAAGGGTCTTCATAAGACAGGAATATTACAGACTTTTGGAGGCAGCGAGTTCTCTGAATGTTGGCATATTCTTGGTCTGGACACATCACACACTGTTCTATGTCTAGTGAGAAAATGAAATCATCATTATTCTAAATTCTGCATTTATTTCCTGTTCACAGCCCTTATTCCCAGATGCTCATTTTTAGCTGAGCTAAATTCCTCATTTTTCTCTAAACAGATGTAAAATAACACTATGTAACAAATAATGCCTCATGAATACTACTCATTCTCCTTACGCTCCTGTGCATGATAATTTATTGTGCTTCTTAATCTAATATTCATAAGGATTTTCTCCTTTCACAAAGCAGAGATAGACCGGTGTAAATGAAACTGCTGTTACTATTGTCCTGAATATACTGAGCAATCAATCACTTGCAAAGCAATATAATTTGAGATGCTTGATAAAAACAGATATTATCAGTAGCACTTCATATGAAGTAATAATAAAAAATACTCTAGAAAATGCTGTTATTTCCATCAGAATGTGTAGACATCATCTATTGCAGTTAGATAAAATTAATCCATTGGAAAGAACTGAAACTCTTCATCACTGAGCCTTTCTATTTTGAACATGCTTTATTGAGTGACTCATTCCAGTTTTAAATTATTTTCTATAATTTATTGGAAGCATAATTATAAACATGTAACCTGTTTATCATTATATATCTAATATGTTGAGATGCAATAAATATTAACTCTAAAAATTAATCTATGAAAAAATTAATTATGAAAATTTCATGAATGTGATGTACAAATATTTTCATTTTTACCATTAATCTTTTTGCAGTCAACAGCAAACAAAGTTATAAGCATCCTAGGGTTTATTTCTTGCACACAAGTATCCTTAGAAAGCTATGTTCGATCCGCCTCCCGTTCTTGCTGAGCTCGGAGAACTGTGGAGTTTTAAGCAAGCAGGCGGGTGCACACTGTCCCCAGATCCTAGCCCATTTGGGACCCTCGCACAGCCTGGGTGCAGTGGAATGGCTGGGTAGGGCTGGGGCACCTGCATCTACCTCCCTGTGTGTCTGGAGGACTGTGGTTTTCCTAAGCAAGCAGGCGAGCATCATCAGTTCCAGAGGCCTTGCAGCCTGCAGTAAGTGTCCAGCACACTCTCCCCCAAGCCCAGCCTGTTTGGGATCCCTGAGCCTTTGGGGTGCAGTGAAGTAGATAGGCAGGTCAGAGGCACCTACATCTGCCTCCCATTTCAGGCTGTGCTCAGAGAACTGTGGAGTTCCAAGCAAGCAGGCTGGCGCACACTGTCCCTGGAGCCCAGCCTATCTGGGACTGTCGAGTTCTAAGCAGGCAGATGAGTGCTACGGGCTTCAAAGGCCTAGCAGCCTGGGGGAATTAGGTGCCAGAGTCCCAGGAGCTGCGAAGATAGAAGTGGATTTCCAACAGGCCCCGAGGAAGCTTTCAAATAACACTTGAAACACAGAAATATAGGAAAATGACAAAACGAAAGAACAAATTACAACCTCAAACCTCCATCCCATCCCAGGAAACCTTAGGGGGAATGTATGTAGAAGAAAATATATACCATACACTCAAATATCAGACATAATACCTACTGAAATAAACAAGCAACTCCGGGAAGCTTTAAAGGAACTCAAACTTGAAATAATCTCCCAGGTAAAAGAAGAAATGATAAAAGAAATGAAAGAGATGCTGAATATATCTAAAGAAAACACAGTCAAAAAATTGGAGGAACTAAACAAAAATATAGAATCCCTCGACGAGCAATATAAGAAACAAACAGAATATATAAAGGAGATGCACAGAGATATACAGGAAATCAAACAAACTGAAAGCTGTAAAAAGTGGCCTCAATGAAAGTGAAGATACAATTTCAGACCTTGAAGACAGGATTGCAGCTAGTGAACAGGAAAGGAAAGATATTTTAAAAATACCAAGGAATCAGGAAATAAGAATTCAACAACTGCAAGATGATGCAAAGCAAAGCAACATAAGATTGATAGGGATTAATGAAAAAGAAGGGGACAACATAAAGGATGTCAAGAAGATATTTAGAGAAGTAATAGCTGAAAATTTCCCAAGCATGAGATCAGAAACTGACACCACGTTCTGAGAAGCCTATAGAAATCCAAATAGTCATAACCAAGATAAAACTATACCCAGACATATAATAATCACCATCTGAGAAATCCAACATAAGAATAGATTATTAAAAGCAGTCAGAGAGAAAAGACAGATCACCTATAAAGGAAAACCTATCAGAATCACAGAAGACTGCTCAGCACAAACAATAAAGTCAAGAAGAGCATGGAGTGAAGTATTCCAGATACTAAAGCAAAATGATTTCCAACCTAGACTGATGTATCCTGCAAAACTATCATTCAAAAAGTTGGTGAAATAAGATATTTCATGACAAGAACAGCTGAAGAACTTCATGAACACCAAGGCAACCCTGCAAAAAATATTGAGAGACAGTTTAGATACACAAAGGAAAAAACCACTAATGAAAGCAGATAATTAAATAGAAGAGAAAGATGCAACAGCAGAAAGATAACTTGTCAACAATAAACCAGCATATAACAGTCATAACCATTAATGTAAATGGTCTCAATGCACCAATCAAAAGAAACATACTGGCACAATGGATAAAGAAACAAAATCCAACCATATGCTGTTTACAGGAAACCCATCTAACTCAGAAGTATACTCACAGACTGAAAGTCAAAGGATGGAAAACAATACTTCATGTAACAGGAATCCACAAAAAAGCAGCAGGAGTAGCCGTTTTGTTTGCAGACAGCATGCATTTTAAACCAACAATGATCAAAAAGGGCAAAGAAGGTCACTACATACTCATTAGGGGAAAACTCCAAGAGGAAGAGATAACTATCTTAAATATATATGCACCAAATTCCAGTACACTCAGTTATATCAAACAACTATTAACAGAAATGAAAAATCAAATTATCAGTAACACAATTGTAACAGGAGACCTTAACAAACCATTGACAACAAGGGACAGATCAACCAGACAGAAAATGAGCAAAGAAATAATAGAATTGAATCACACCTGTGAACAAATGAACTTCATAGACATATACAGAATGTTCCACCCAACAACATCAGAATACACATTCTTCTCAGCAGTACATGGGTCATTCTCTAAAACAGACAATATATTAGCTTACAGAACATATTTTAAAAAATACAAAAGTGTTGAAATCATCCCTTGCATGTTATAGCGATTTGAAATTAGAAATTAATGATAAAAGATACCGCAAAAATCCCACAAACAAATGGAAACTGAATAACACACTATTGAGTAATCAGTGGGTCACAGAGGAAATTAAAGAAGAAATCAAACACTACCTACAAGAAAATGAAAAAACAGATACAACTTACCAGAGTCTGTGGGATGCAATGAAAGCTGTCCTCAGAGGAAAATTTATTGCACTGAGTTCACACGTCAGAAAAAGGGAACGAATACAAATAAATAACCTGATGCTACACCTCAAACAGCTAGAAAACAAAGAGCAAGTCAAGTCCACAGCCAAAAGAAGAGAGGAAATTATAAATATCAGAGCAGAAATCAACACAATAGAGACTAAGAAAACAATCCAAAGAATCAATGAATCAAAGAGTTGGTTCTTTGAAAGAATAAATAAAATCGATAAGCCACCAGTCAACCTTTTTTTAAAAAGGGAAGAAAAAGCTCAAATTCATGCAACAAGAAATGAAAAAGGTGAAATCACTACAGACTCAACAGAAATACAGAAGACCCTGAACAACTATTTGGAAAACCTCTACTCTCGAAGGTTTAATAACACAGAAGAAATAGACAGATTCTTAGAAACATATGAAGTACCAAAGCTAGACTAAGGGGATGTAAAACTGCTGAATAACCCAATCTCTATTAACAAAATTGAAAATGTAATTAAGTCCTTACCTACAAAGAAGAGCACAGGCCCAGATGGATTCACTGCAGAATTCTGCAATAAATACAAAGAAGACCTAATGCCGACACTCCTCAAACTATTCAATGAAAGTGAAAGGAAGCAATCCTTCCTAAGTCATTCCTGGAAGAAAATATTACTCTAGTACCAAAACCTGACAAAGGCCCAACTAAAAAAGAGAACTATAGATCAATCTCCCTAATGAACACAGGTACAAAAATCCTCAATAAAAATATTGGCAAATAGGATGCAGCAAATCATCAAGAAGATTATGCACCATGACCAAGTAGGATTCACCCTAGGCATGCAAGGATGGTTCAACATACGTAAATCAATAAATGTAATCCACCATATCAATAAAGCCAAAAAGAATCACATGATCATTTCTATAGATGCATAAAAAGCTTTTGACAAGGTCCAACATTCATTCATGATAAGAACTTTACAGAAAATTGGAATAGATGGTCTTTACCTCAATATAATAAAGGCCATCTATCATCTATCAAAAGCCAGTATCATACTAAATGGCCAAATATTGAAAGCCTTTAGTTTAAAATCAGGCACAAGACAAGGATATTCTTTATCACCACTCCTATTTAATATAGTACTGGATGTTCTAGCCAGAACAATTAGACAAGAGAGAGAAATAAAATGGGTAAAGATAGGAAAAGAAGAAATTAAATTATCATTGTTTGCAGATGACATGATACTCTACATAGAAGACCCCCTAAACTCCATTGAATGACTCTTAGATATAATAAATAAATTCAGTAATGTAGCTGGATACAAAATCAGTACTCAGAAATCAATAGCATTCCTATACACTAACAACAAATCACAGAGAGGGATATAGAAACCACACTCTTCAGACTAGCAAGCAAAAAAATGAAATATCTAGGAATTACTCTTATGAAAGAAGTGAAAGACCTATATAGGGAAAATTATATTACACTGAAAAAAGAAATTGAAGATGATCTCAGAAAATGTAAAGATATTACTTGCTCATGCATAGGAAGAACAAACATTGTGAAATTGACCATTCTCTGAAAACTGTTATACAGATTCAATGTAATCCCAATAAAAATACTATCAACATACCTTATAAATCTAGAGAAATCACTCCTAAAATTCATCT